CCCAACGGCGCAGCCGCGGCGGCCGCGGCTGCCGCGGCGGGCGGCGGGAGCGGCGCGTTTGGCGGGTTTGGTGCGTTTGCGTCACTGATGCTGGCGCCGACGGCGGTTGTGTCGGCGGGGCTGCGGCGGCCGCTGGCCGGCGGGGCGGTGGCTGCCGCGGGTGCGGGCGTCGTTGCCATGGGCGGTGCGGCAGCGGACAGCGGCGCCGCTGGCCGGCAGGCGGGGCTTGCTTTGCGTGGCGGCGGCGGCAGCGCGATGGCACGCATGCGGGATCAGGTGGGTCGCGGCCTGGTGGGGGCAGCAGCAGCACTGCAGCGAGTCACGTTTGGCGCTGCTACTGCCGCCGGCGGCAACGGGCGCGGCGGCTGGGGCGCGGGCCGCCAGCAGCAGCCGGCGGCGCGCCGCACGGTCGTCGTCGCAGGCGCCGCCGCCGCTGGCCCTGCCCCTGCCGCCGCCGTCGCTGCACGCGGCGGGGGTGTGTTTGGCGGCCTTGCGTCCTTTGGCAATGCGATCGCCAGCGCCGCGCGGCTGCGCGTCGGCGCCTTCGCCCCATTGCGCCGAGGCGGCGCCGGCGCCGCCGGCGCGCCCGTCTGCTCACCGCACTACGGCCGCCACAACCCCCAGCAGCACCCCGTCCTTGTCAGCGTCGCGGCCGGCGCGGGGGCGCCCGTGTCTCTGGGCTCTGCCGAGCGGGTGGCGCTTGCGGGCGGCGATGTCGCCCACCTCAACGCGCTGCTGGGCGCCGACGCCGGCGGCGCGGGCGCAGGTACGGGTGCCCAAGCGCATCGCGTGCGCAAGAGCGCCAGCTGCGGCAGCATCTCGGACCTGGGCGGGGCCGGCGGCGGCGGCGGCCGCGCCTCGGCCGACGCGGTGGGCAGCATCCACTACGGCGGCTGCGGCGGGCGGCAGACGCTGCACCTGCCCGCGCCGCGGCTGGCGTGGCTACGCCGCAGCAGCAACGCGCTCGTCTTGCACGGGCCCTAGGTCCCAACTTTTGTGTCATCCGTCACGTCAACCAGGTCGCTGTTGCCCTCTGCCCTTGACCTGCTTGCTATGTGTGTCTGTGAACTGGGTGCAGCCTCGCGCGCTTGTCTTGTGGGCGCAGCCATTGTCGCGCGCCCTGAGTTCCCCACAACCTGCAGCTGAGTGGCGCCTGCCGGCCGCGCCGCGGCTGCATGGCGAGAGGCCGCGCCGTCCCCCTCGGGACCGCGCATGCGCCCCGCGCCTTGCCTGGTCGCGGCGGCGCGGCACCGCGCCCTAGCGCCCAGACTTCACTTCCGGCTGCAACTATCACCCGCCCTTACTCCCTTCCTCTGCGGAGTGTCGTGGCGCCGCACCCCGCGGCCGCATTGGCCCGCCTCTGGCGCCTTGTGCCTGCTGGCCCCCGCGCGTAGCGGGCGGCTGCGAACGTTTTGCCCCTGTTGTGTTTGCCTGGTATATCTGATAGGCTGTGATTATGGTATGATTCAGCAAGGCCGGCCTACCCCCCCGTATTTGCAGTTCCGCGCATTTAGCACCTGTGCTTCTGCGCTGCGTAGGTCCAGAGCAGTGCTGGCTGCAGCTTGTTCAGCGCCGGTCGTATCGCCCCCACTCCGCCGGGCGCTTCGTGCCATGCGCCCCGCCCGCGCCGCGCTGCCACCCTTGTTTATGCGACTGGCAGCCCGTTTTTTCTGGCACGCGGTCGGCTGTTGCGGCGCGCTCTAGGCAAAGGAAGCTGTTTTCAGCCTGCACAAATCCAACCAAGCGACTTAGGATACGGGAGAGGAGGCGCTTGAACCTAGACTGCTGCAATATTTTGATTGTCAGGATCTCTGCAGCCACCTTCATGCCGGTATGCAGCCGCACCCATCTGCGCCTCACGAGTGCAGCGCACCCGCCGCGTGCTTGGCGGCCGTGCCGTGCAAGCCCCTCATCCGTAGGTGCCTGTGCTGGGGCCAGGGCGCGCCTCACCCCCTTGCCTGCAGCACAGCGCAGCGGCGAGCGATTCCCTGGCCCTGCTTGCAGCACACGCCCGGCCTCGGCGCCCTTTGCGCCAGAGGACGGACTGACGGACGGGGCCCCTTGTAATGTGCTGTGAGATGGCTCCGACTGCATCGCAGACTGCATCGAAGACTCATATAGGCACGGCTCAAAAACCTGTTATCCCTTTATGTGAGCTTGCAAGTAGCAACCGCCATTGACTGATGGCGAAGCTCGTCGCGGCGCAGTGGCGGGGGCGCACCAGCAGCAGTGCAGGCTAAAGCGTCCGCAGCTCGCGGCCCGCCTGGCTGTGAGGAGGAGGCGGTTGTGGAGACGCAGGTACGCTCGAAGCGTACACAAAAGGTTCTTTGTAAGAATTATTCCGGGAGCTTGCTGCACGCACCAGCGCTCTTGTGCGTGCGGCGCACAGCGTCCCCAGGGGCACGAGCGCACGTCTGGTCAAGCCCCACCCCGCACGCTCGTCCGCACTGCTCCGCGCCCCTCTGCACGCAATGCCGGCTGTTTCCTGCAAGCGACAAAAAGAAATATTCCTAAAATTTCTCGCAGCGCACTTTGTCCCGCGCGCCCCTGTCCGCAGGAAGTGGGCGGTTGTCCTGCTGCGCTTTGCGGCCGATTCTGAAATTCGGGCGACGTGCACCAAGCTTGTCGCAATCGGCCTCGAATCAAGCAGAACGCGGTCCTCATTGAAATCTGATACAACGTTAGCCTGAATGTCTTATATGGAGCCTCGTCGGTTGTAAAGAGGCCGCGTCGCCGAACGTGGCAAGCGGCGATCCACTCTCTGGTGCCCCTATGCTGCTTTATCATTCCTTTCGCTCCAATCATTCAATCGACTTTGTGAAAATCTTCAGGTTTGTAAGTTCATAAATCCCAGACGAGCCAAGCAGAGAGAGAGCGGGAACCAGAGCGGGAGACCCTGAGAGGCCGTGGAGCGAGCGGCACGCGCACGTATAGGCAGTACATCTTTGTAGAAACCTTATCCAACGTAGTTCAGCGGGTCAGCGCTGCAAGAGACAGCGCTATTCAACACAAGCGTCATCCACTGTCACCTCCACTGGCGCGCCCAGGGTGAGCTTTGTTGAATGAATTTTCGCAGTAACCCTATGTTATCGGCGCTGTGGGCTGTTCAGGGCTCCCATGCGCACTGCGCGATCGACGCACCCTTCGCGGCACACGCATGAACTGAATTCCTGGCATGGGACGCTGAGTAGTGCACTAACATGCTGTAAATCATTCATATGATGCGCCGTAGACGAATAGCTCCACATCGTCTGGGCTGCTGCGTCACCCGCTGCCCGCGGCGTTGCGCTACTCACGCCATGTCGCACGCGCAATACGCTCGACACAAAATGGCACACGCAGGAGTAGCATATGGACTGCTACAAGCCTCCACCAGCAACCCCTCCGACGCAGCCACCCGGTCCGACAGGGGCGGGGCCCCCTCGCCACATGGGCGCCCCCCAAGACGGCCAGGCAGCAACATGCCCCGCCGTGGGCCCCGCCGCGACGCCTGCGCAGCCGAGCGTACCCGATGGCCTGGGTCTCGTCGGGGTGCGCGGCTGGCGACTCAGCGGGCGTGGCGACGACATAGAGTGGCTGATGCTGTTCGCCTCGCCGGAATGCGGGGGCGGTGGCAGCAGCGGGGCCGCCGCCTCGGCCTGGCGCGCGGTCTTTTCGGTCGCTGACCGCCGCCAGTGGGACGAGATGCAGCGCTTCCTGCTGCCGCAGCTTACTGTGCTGCGCAGCGTGATGAGCGGAATGCTCCTCGGCACTGACGGGGCCGCCGTCAGCGCTGCGGCGGCGGCAGCAGCGGCCGCCGCCGCCGCGGCCGTCGCGTCCGTGACCGCCGCAGGCGGCCCGGCTGCGGTCGCGGCGCTCGCCGCGGCAGGGGGCTCATCTGCAACCATGCTCGGCGCGGGCCTCGCGGCCGCATTGCTGCACGGCGCGCCGCCGCCCGACGCGGAGGCCGAGGCGGCGGCCGCGGCCGCGGCCGCCTCGCGGCCGGGGGCACACGCGTTCCGGCCCTACCGGCGCGACTTTGTGCACGACTGGCGGTTTTGTCGCGCCCGCAACCAGGTGAGGGACCGTGCCGCGTCGATGGCTGCTGCGTGCATTTGCAGGGCCAGCAGAACAGCAGAAGTTGGCTCCAGGCACTCTCCTAACCGAAGGGCGGCGCCTGCGAAGTTTGCTCTTATATGGAGCCCCGCGTGCTGCAGTCTGCTTGCTGTTATTTGCCTCTATGGAACTTGGGCCCCTCTTAACACACACACACACGTACACACAACATGCACACACACACACACACACACACACACGTATACACACAACACGCACACTCACATCAACGCACCAACACCCACGCCCTCGGTGCAGATTGTGTTCCTGGTGCGACGCCACGCCGGCGGCGCCTCCGCCAACACGTGCGCCAGCACGCGCGGCAGCGATGAGGCGGAGACGACGCGCATGGACGGGGGCGCCCCGCCGCGTCAGGCGCCGCCGCGGCCGCCGCCGGCCGCCGCCCCGGCGCCCCCCGCACGTGGCGTCGGCGCGGACTCCGACGCCGAAGACTGCAGCGGCGACGGCTC